ACATTGAAAAAAAAAGATTTATCATCTAAGGTTGCGAGATGGGTGTTGTTTTTAGATCAATATGACTTTGAAGTTGAGCATAGAAAAGGATCAAGGATGAGGCATGTAGACGCATTGAGCAGACACCCTTATATTTCAGTCATGGTAGCAAGCCTTCATGACCAAGTTAAGGAAGCCCAAACCCAGGATGAAGGACTGAAAGCAATGATTGAAATTCTAAAAGAAAACCCCTATTTAGACTATTGGTTGGAAAACAATATTCTATACAAGAGTGACCAGAAGCAGCTAGTAATACCTAGAAGCATGGAAAAGGAAGTCATACGAAGAGTGCATGCCAATGGTCATTTTGGTAAAAGAAAAATGAAGGAACTTACTGTTAAAGATTTTTACATCAAAGAAATAGATAAGAAAATTGATGACTTTATAGCAAGCTGTATACCATGCTTACTAGCAACGAAGAAGCAGGGCAAACAGGAAGGTTTTCTTAACCCTATTCAGAAGGAGGGAACTCCCCTGCATACCCTTCACATGGATCACATCGGACCAATGACTGAGACTAGAAAGAAGTATAATCACATTCTTACAATAGTAGATGCCTTTACCAAATTCGTGTGGCTTTTCCCTACAAAGAGCACCACCAGTAGTGAAACTCTAGATAAGCTTAAAATACACCAACAGACATTTGGGAACCCAGAAAGGATTGTCACCGATCGCGGTACTGCTTTTACTAGTCATGAGTTTGAAGAATATTGTGAGAGTGAGAAGATACAACACATAAAGATAACAACAGGAGTGCCACGAGGAAATGGCCAGGTGGAAAGGGTACATGGAATCATTAAACCAACTCTTACGAAGTTATGTGCAGAAGATCCATCAGTGTGGTACAAACATGTAAGCCGATTGCAACGGGCAATAAACAGCACTTTCCAAAGGAGCATTAACACTAGTCCCTTTGAGCTATTGACAGGTGTCAAGATAAAATCCAAAGAAGATATACCTTTAATTAGTTTATTACAGCAAGAAAGTCTAGAACAGTTCAGTGAGGAAAGAGAAGTATTAAGAAAAAGGGCTAAAGAACAAATATTAAAAATCCAGGAAGAAAACACTAGTACTTATAATAGTAAAAGAAGGGAAAGTACTAAGTATAAAGTGGGTGAACGAGTAGCAATACAAAAGACACAATTTGGCTCAGGACTCAAACTAAAGCCGAAGTACTTAGGACCATATAAGATTACCAAGGTGAAACGAAAGGACCGCTATGATGTCGAAAAGGATGATGTCACATCTGAAGGTCCCATAAAGACTACTTGCTCAGCTGATGGGATGAAGAGGTGGCCTGACAAGGATGGAGAAATTGAGTAAGTGTGTTTTGATCTGTAGTGAGATATGGATGTAAGACTGAATGTGGATATTCAATTATTTTTTTTGTTTTATTTGTTTCATTTAAGTTTTCTGTGTTAATGAGAAACTCATTTCATCTGTTGGTAAATGTAAACTGTAGTTTAATCTCATAAGTCGGTTAGTATTGTAAGCTGATTTACTAATGTTTTGTTATTAAATAGTGCTTAAGTTTATAACATGTGTAGAAGTTAACCTTTGCATTGTATTGCATTGTATTGTAAGACCTTTAGTTAAGAACTGTGTAAGACAAGAATTTTATTCATTTTGTTGTTAATATTTGTGATTAAAATATTTAAGTTGTTTGATGAATGAGTGAGAATGTAATAAGGAATGAGAGTCAGTCTAGCATGTCTGAGGACCGACATGGATGTCGGATGGCCGAATGTGGGAATAGGAATGCAGCTGTAAGAGAGAGAGTGTGATGTGTGAGTGAGAGGCATGTGAAAAAGTGGGATGGAGGATTAACATGTACGACGGTCAATGGTGCTAAGCAAGTAAAATATTATTTTACTAAGAAGACGGTGTAAACCTTATTTGAAGAACCCTATATCCCATATATATATTATTAGCTGTATATATATTTTACTAGTTTAAGTTTTATCATGCCTGTAAAAGATAACAATTTATTCATTCTTATTCTTTCATTCTCCATAAAATCCTTTGACAGTTTGTCTTTCAAATACATGACATTGGCGATATTGTGGTTACACTCTACCACAAAGCCATTAACCAAAAGTTGAAGTTGACCTTTAAAACTTAATGTATATAATATAGTAATCATACAGCTGAATTTTATGAAAAGTTCAAGTTGTTCTTACTTTTTTGCTTTTCGGTTGTTATACCTAAATTGGTTTTGTTTGAGTTACTCATTATATCTAGGAACGAATCTTATTTATAAATGAACAGCAACAACGTAGTTAATACACTGATTTAATACTTTTACTAATACAACATCATTTCTTTCGTCCACAGTCACGAACACGATGTTGACTTCAAAAAATAAAAGAAATAAAAAGATTCTACTGATGGCTCTTCAATGTGATTCACAAATTAACCAAAACTGTCACCAACAGAGAAAGGTGTTATTAAAAGAATATACCATGAATGAGAGTAATACGATTGCGTCAATTACTTGTAAAACTAATAAGCAGAATACTTTGTCTCCTGTTGAAGAATTTTTGTCCGACATTCAGCCTTTTGATGAGTTGTTGCCTGTGATAAATAATGATAATAACAATTTTGTTGTGTTTCCAGAATTGATTGGCGATAGTTTTGATACATTAGAAGAGATATCAACTCACAATTTAACAGAATTAGTGCCTGTTCCAGAAGGAAATAAACAAACCGCAATAGAGAATCCTTTTGTTGAATCACCAACATTTGAACAAACAATTATTTTAGAATGTTGTGTATCTACAGTGAATAATGTCAATGACAATGTAAAATTAACAAACCATACAACTACAAGTCAGGAAATACTAAATAATAATACAAAAGTAACCGAAGAACCTACAATTATACTGTATAATTTTTTTTTTTTTTTTTTTTTTTTTTTTTTTTTTTTTTTTTTTTTTAACTTTTTGCACAAGTACATGCATCGGCGGACTTAATGCCTAAGGCATTCTCTGCCAGTCGACCGATTGGGCGATGCTGAGAAAGAATGAGGTAGGTGCATTTATGATAGGGTATAAACGATAGTGGTTTTGTTAAATACCAACTATCTTGGAATTTGGTGTATACGTCGTAATACCACACACATACACATACATATACATACTCATAAATATATACATACATGCATACATACACATATATATATACATACACATACACATATATATATGAGAAAAATAAAAAAAATAAAATAAAAAAAAATTAGCCGATGAACTAGGAGCTCGTTGAATCTGCCATTTCGCTCAGCAATAGCTCTTTCACTTTCGTCTTAAAAGAGTACCGATTTGTAGCCATCCTGACTTCGTGAGGAAGCGCATTCCATAAGAGGACAGCCTGGACAAAGAACGAAGAGCCGACAAACCCAGTGGTGTGAGAAGGACAGAGTAGAAGAAGATTGTTGGCCGAACGAAGGTTTCTGTTGTGGTTGTTGCATAACAATTGAAATTGTGTTGTTAAATAAGTAGGAGGGGAAGGGGAATTGAGGATAGTGTACATAGTTGTGAGAGCGCGCATTTTCCTGCGTTGACGAATAGGTAACCATCTTAGTTGGGAACGAAAATCGGAGATATGGTCATACTTACGAAGATTAAAGATGAATCGAATGCAGTTATTGATGAGACGATCTAGCTTGTTGAGAAGATCTGCATTCAGGTCATAATAGCACACGTCACCGTAGTCGATTAAAGGGAAGATAAGAGATTGCACGAGCGCTGTCTTAGTTTTCACGGGAAGAAAATTTTTCAGGCGATATAATGTTCTAAGAATGCCGGTAACCCTCTGGCATACGTATGTGACTTGATCGCGCCAGTTCAGGGTGCAGTCGAGTTGTAAGCCTAGGTCTTTCACCGATCGACAAACAGGTATAGTGATACCATTAAAAATTATTTTGGGGAGCGTCTCAAAATTGACTCTGTTCATCGAACGCTGACTGCCAATTATTATTGCCTGACACTTTGTCGGGTTGACCGATAACCCAAACCTTTCAGACCAGTTTTTGATGGTTTTGAGATCTATGTTGATCTTGTCAATAGCTATTGGTATGTCATCAACATTAGCTTGAGCATACAGTTGCAGGTCGTCAGCATACAGATGATACGCGTTACGAAGTTCAAGAGATAAGAGATTAATAAACACAGAGAACAATAAAGGAGAAAGTATACCGCCTTGAGGAACACCAGAGCCGACATCACACCAGCTCGAGGAGAGATCGTCGACACGAACGGACTGCTGGCGTCCCTGAAGATAAGATGAGAACCATTCCAGCGCTTCAGGCGAGATCTTAAGATAGGAGAGGATGGATAAGAGGATATCGTGGCTGACGGTGTTAAAGGCGTTTGAAAAGTCGACCAGAATTAAGACTGTCACTTGTGTATCTTCCAAAGCCACCCTGATATCACCAGTCACTTTGAGGAGGGCAGTGGTGGTGCTGTGGCCAGGCCTAAAACCAGATTGAAATGGGCTTAATAAGTCATTTTTGTAGATGAAACCCGAGAGCTGTTTATGTACACAGGCTTCAAGAATTTTGGATAGGAAGGGAAGAATTGATATAGGTCTAAAGTGGTTAGGAAGTGTGGGATTTGCAATTTTAGGTAATGGAATAATGTAGGCTTTGCGCCAAAGTGAGGGGAAAGTTCTGGAGTATAGGGAGTAGTTAATGATATGGGAGATTGCTGGTAAAAGCTGATCGAGAATTGTTGTGATCATGCGTCTTGTAATTTGGTCGAAGCCCACAGCGTTAGATTTGAGAGAGAGGATTATCGAACGATAGCTTTGAAAAAATAGAACCAAGGGAAAAAAATGCTTCAGAAGAGAAACAAGGACCCATCAATATCGAAATACCCCCTTCTGTGGCACCAACGCAATAAGCAAATGAAAATTGTGTTGCTACAAATGACACTGACAATGAACCTAGTATAAGTGGGACAATGCTGACCGAGAACCCCACAAAAAGAAAGCGCTCTAAAGAAAATCAAAGAGTCCTTAATAAGAAGAAAAGAATGGAAGGCCAGAAATATGTGGGGTTTCGTAAACCAAGAGGGCAAAAAAATACATTTAATGATACAGAAAGAAGCGAAAGAAAATTATTACCCAGATGTAATTGCAGCAAAAAAGACACTAAAGTCACAAATTCGACGAAGAAATGTTATGAGATTACCGAAGCAGATCGACAGGAAATATTTACAAATCTATGGTCTAAAATGAACTGGGATCAAAGAAAAGTTTTCGTGTCTAACACCGTCTTCAACCGTGAAGCTAAACGTAAGACTACTGAATGAAATAGCAGACGTAGTCATTCTTTAGCTTACCATTTGCAAATAAGGAATAATTTATTAGTTGTTTGTAAAACCATGTACTTAAACACAACTGGACAGGGTCAGTGGTCAGTTGCAGATTGGTCGGCAAAAAGCCAGCATGGTGTTATAGAACAACATTCAACAGCTGTGGCCTCCAGAGCCCCTAGAGAAAACAAGAACACTGATAAGCTTGAGTTTCTAAAAAATTCGTTAATCTTCTCAATAAATTACCCAGCCATTACTGTCGAAAATCAACAAAAAAATTGTACTTGGAACAGACGTTTACTACTTATCAATCGCTTTACAATTTTTATAAGTCTAGTTGTGAAAAAGAAGGCATAGATGCCCTAACCATTAACAAAATGAAAGATGTACTTTCAGAAATGAATGTTTCTTTGTTCAAGCCTCGTAAAGACCAATGTGACGTGTGTCTGGCCTATACTAACGGACATTTACCAGAAAATGAGTACGAGGTTCATCAAGCTGAAAAGAAGAAAGCAAGAGACGAAAAAAGTAAAGATAAACTCAGGGCTTTGGAGGGTGAATGCCATGTCTTTACCATGGATGTCCAAGCTGTTAAATTGTCTCCGATGACGAAAGCCAATGCTCTTTACTATCGGACTAAGCTATGTAACCACAATTTTACAATCTACAATCTTGCCACAAGTGATGCAACATGTAACTGGTTCGATGAAACTGTTAGTGACGGCTCAGCATCAACTTTTGCTGCTTTTTTGGTTCATTACTTGGAATCCAATTTTCTGGGAAAGGGTGATAATCGCCCTATTATAATATACTCTGATGGTTGTACAGCGCAGAACCGAAATGTAATAATGTCCAATGCACTATTAAGTCTTGCCGAAAAATGTGATGTTGAAATAATTCAAAAGTACCTTACCAAAGGACACACTCAAATGGAGTGCGACTCCGTCCATAGTACTATTGAAAGTGCGTTAAAAAATCGTGACATCTATTTGCCCAGTGATTATCACCGTATTGTTCAGGAAGCAAGAAAACGAAATCCGTATGAGGTTTTCGTGCCAACTTTTGATTTCTTTCGTGATTATGGATACAAATCCCTGTTAAAGCATACATCGATACACCCTGGTCGAAGTGTTGGAAATCCTGTGTTTGTTCAACTCAAAGCTATAAAATACACCAGTAAGGGCATATCTTACAAACTGCAATTTGATGAAGAATACCGTCTGTTACCACAAAGACCAAAAAATATAGACCTTGCTCACCCTGAATTTCCATAATTACATTCTGCTCCTTTGTCAGTTAAAAGAGAGAAAGTTTAAAGATTTACAAGAGATTAAAAATGTGATCCCCAGGGATTGTTGGCCATATTACGAGTCTCTACCCCATCGTATTTAAAGAAGTTACTTAAATTAGATTGAATTTAATTGTGTTTATATTCTTTCATTAATAATAAAATTACCTAAAAAAAATTTGTTTTATTTCTATGAGTAACACATTACCTTGTATCTACATAAATTCTATGAATTATTGAATTCTTTAATTTGCTTTTGCAACTCAAATTCTTATTTATAACATGGCTATAAAGTAAATAAACGAATAATTTAAAAAAAAGTGTATTAAATTGTTCGCATCGCTTTTAAGAAAGTTTTTATCTTCTACTGTACAAAATACTTTTTGCATTTAGAAGGTCCTGCACTGACGCCGACAAAATCTTTCAATGAAAATTATCTGTTTAGCTCGTATTTTGTTTATATTGTTATGACATATGTAAAACCCTTTACACAAGCAACAAATATAAAAATTTAATTATTATTTAATTTGACTTTGAAATTGATTATACGGAATACCCCTTTTATTTATTTTTTCCGTGCGGAAATCCCCTCGGATACCACCTGTCGGACTCGAATTGACTAAAACCGCACGCCGTCTCGGGTACTAATAGCCGGGGAACCAGGTATACCCTAGAAAGGAAGTCCCTGGTGATACAGAATACCCCTGGTTTTATTTGATTCAGATAAATAATCAAGATTCTACCATATTATTATTATTCTTATTCTATAATGCACTAGCAGATCATAGATCTGATGCTGCATATCACTGCACTTGTATTCACTTTGATGTTTTAAATCAGAGGTTCCCAGTTTGTTTTTTTCATAGCACTTTTTAAATTAAGTTGGTTCCGGTGGAACCCCTGCAGCTACATTTCTACCACATTCGAAAAGCTCGATAAAATATGTGAAGATTTATATGGAATATACAAGTTTTTACAAGTCGCTGAGCTTTTTAAAATAATATCTGCCTACATTAAAAGCTGAAGTCGAGCCAACATTTTAGTTCTTCACTATCGATTTTCTTGGACCCCTGGCTTACGAATTATGAACACACAATTTACTCTCCAGGGAACGTAGACTTGACAGCATTATATTAAAGATATTTTTGAATGTGAATGCCATGTAAATTGCTTAGAGCACATCACTCAGAAGGCTGTTTTGTTTTAAAACAAGTATATTTTACAAACATATGAATAGGTTTAACAACGGAGACTCCTACTGACAAAGAGAAAAATGCTGCAGTATTATTATCATAGATTTATAAAGAAATATTAAATATTTTTACTAAATTCACACATTTATACACATTATTAATTTAATGTATGTATAGAAATTCTTGTTAGTTAACTTTTTAATAAGTATTTACCTTATTTTAAATTGATTCAAAGACAAATCAATAATATCTTGTAATTTTATTAAACATCTCTAAATTTAAACCTACAAAGGAATTACTCATTTCATGTAACCTGAATTGCCTTTATACAAAAAAGTTGTAGTTTTACCAAAGAACACGAGACTCGAAAATGTTATAAAAATTAAATTTTCATTAGTAGGTATGTATTTTTAGGAACTAGATAGAACTTTATGAAGATTTAAATGTCTCACTTATAGCTTTTGAACATGTCTGAATTTATCTTACTTTGCCGGACACTGCGTCCATTTTTCATTATTCCTGTAGTTACAACTTTCTGTTACTTTTGGCCCTCAACTTATGTTACACGAAAATTTTGTGTTTAAATAGTCAGCGAATTCGAAATTGAACTTCAACTTTTGGTTAATGGCTTTATGGTAGAGTGTAACCACAATTTCGCCAATGTCATGTATTTGAAAGACAAACTGTCAAAGGATTTTATGTAGAGCTGTGGTAGAGCCAAAAAAAATATTTTGAGAATGAAAGAATAAGAATGAATAAATCTTTATCTTTTACAGGCATGATAAAACTTAAACTAGTAAAATATATACAACTAATAATATATATACATATTGTTTGATTATTTTTTGAGATTTTATGTTTAAATGTTGTGGTCATTAATTTAAATGGAATAATCCTCTTAAACTAATTAGTAAGAACACCAAAATACTAATATGTCCACGGAGTTCTCACTTCTTATGTTATTTTAATGTAAAATCAGAAAAGCAAATTCGTAGGTGTTTAACTTTTTTTTCAATTTATCAAAATTCTTGCACGCCCAAAATTGATTCATTGATTTTAACATCGATAATCTCTTAATATTACCTTAGTTTTCTAACCTCTGACGGTGTTGCTAGATCTGGCACTCACTGTTGTTTAAACTTCATTTTAAATCATTGTTGGTGTGTTCAATTATTTAGTATATACGTTTTTAAACAAACAATTAATAGTGACACACTAGTTTTTGATATCAATCCTGCTTCGGCACAAAACCAACTCTCCACCTCGAATGGAGTTATACCACGGTCTCATAGAAAAATAATGTGAAGCAATTTTTTCGTTTCTTACCATCGAGCGAGAGAGGATAGGAGCAGGCAAAAACTTGATAGTGGCGCCCCTCTCTCTTGCGTTTGAGATAAATTACTTTGAAAAACTCTCAAATTTATGATTTCACTTGTAGTTTGGACCACGCCAACCAGGTATCCGTATGCTAGGCGATTTGCGGGACAAGTTTTTTGTTTTGAATCATAATAAATTATGATTTAGCGCACCCCGAAACTGGTGCACCGGGTTGTCTCCCCCTAGATACAGAAGATTACCCTAGAAACACCATAACTTCAATAAACAGTTTTGATATTGATGACGACCAACCAATTCGTGACATCCAACAGTGGATAACTATTCAATCATAAGATTTGAGGCCGCCTGAGGCCGCAGTTACTATATTAGTAACCTTTTTTGTTTGCCATAAATAAAGGCCATAAATACCAACCCGTCTGGCCAGCGTGGTATAGTAGGCCAAAACCCCCTTTCTAAGGAGAGGCTTAGGTCCAGCAGTGGACCATTAAAGGCTGCTGATGATGATGATAAATAAAGGAAGGTAAAAAAAAAGAAAATCACTGTATGTATTGTCCCGTCTCCACCGCGCCGGTAGAAAGAAGAGTAACTCATTTTATTTTAAATTACAATTACTTGCGCCCTTTGCAAGTTATTTAATTTAAAGTGAGATTGTGAGAAGATGAGTAAAAATCTTGAGTTCGAAAAACATTTTAAAACAGATTAAGCCCTATTAATTTAATTATTTGAAGTTTTAGTAATATTTGTGACTATTTTCGATTGTTTTATTTGTAATTAAAACACTTTTTTTTGTTTTAAAACAAACAAATCCTGTGTAGTTGTATTTGAAAAATATTTCTGAGTATATATATTATTGTATATGAATAATTGGGACCGTTGGTTTTAGTTTTTCGTTTTTTATTTGAAGCTCAAAAGGCTCTTGACCAAAATGTTGAAGACTTCATGATGTCTTCCGCCATGTTATTCAGCTAACTTCACATCGGTGTGCTCCCAAAACAAATACTTAGGTATCGTGCGTCGTGCAAGCCATTGTTTATCCTCAATAAAAACATAATAAACGTGACCCACATTTTTCAGCAAAGTCTTACTAGATTCTGTTAAGTTGTTTGTATACCTATTCAAGTTGAATTTTTATTCCTAAACCGGTCGAACCGTCGCCGCAATGGAAGTCGAACGTTTCGCTTCCGATTCGGAAAACGTGGCGGTCGACGAAAATGAGAAGCCGGTCGCTGACGAAGGCGCCGGAGACGCCGCTACTTCCCATTCGGAGCGTTTGCGGCGTAAAAATAAGAAATATTGGCGTTCTAATAGTAAGGAAGCGGCGGCTGCAAGCGGCGCGAACAACACTGTAACCCCGTTACCAAAATATCGCAGCTGGAAGAACAGTCGCAGGCCCCGCAATGGGCACGGTAGAGGATTACCGAAGAAAGGTAAGTAATGCGACCTTTTGTGCTTAATATTGAATTTTGTTTATTTACTTTGATCGTTTGCCGGGGAAAGTTCTAGAAATATTGTATGCAATGAATAGAGTTGCATATGTGTTTTTTTACGTAACTATTGTTTACTACGCACCGCACCGGCAGCACCGGTCACGTAACCCCGATACATATAAATATGATAGAGATATATATATATAAATATGAACCACGAGTTTGAAGGTCATGTAATCGGCAATGGTTGTTTTGCGCAGTGTGATTGTTATCACAATACTATGTGATAATATTGGCGTGTGGTATTACGCAATATAGACACTCGCTTGTAAACAATTCTGAGGCTATTTCTGTAATCGAGCATGCGGCCGTATAAACTCTAGAGAACGTATTATTTACGAATCAACTTTAAGTAATATGCGCAGTATAGATAAAAAGGGCTTGGCTTTTGCATCAAATTGACTTAGATTAGGTGCTTATAAGACAAAATTTTATGAAAATCTTGTTTTATTTTTTTATTTTATGTAAATTTTGTAGAATTTTATTCACTTGGACGATCTTGTCCAAAAGTAATATTAAAACTGACTGCAGGTCTAGAATCTTTTGAGATGATTAATAATTTAAGCCAGAAATATTTGAATTAATATTAATCATTAACATGTGGTGATGTTGTACAGTCAACGGTCATAAGTGCAGTCCTACCGTAATGTTCATATTCTGTGTAGTATTGTATTGTAAACATTTATATGTGCTGTATTGTTCTGTGCCTATCTTTGTGTGTGTGATGTTTCTGGTCCAAAAGACATTGTCCTGTACACACATCTTAAACTAAAAAAACCTTTTTGTTGACTGAATTGTAAATCTAAACTATTCTTAAATCCACTTGAACACACAAAAAAATTCATCAAAATTAGTCCAGCCGTTTAGGAATGATGATGTGTGTGTATTGAAACATCATGATGGGACTACCCTTGATTGTACATTATAGGTTTAAAAGCCATCAAATCACAATATTTATTTGCAGATAATACTGGTAGGATATAGGTGTACAGATTGGATGTTGGTGCACTGAATTATACTCTTGACTGAATTTCATGGGTGTGCAAAATTTAAAATTATAATTAGGTTCTAAGTAAACATGCAATGGAATATATTTATTTATTTTTACATACGCTATATAAACAATATAAAAAAATACATTAAGGAATTGGGGGCACAGAGGCAAGCTTAACCCATAGTTGAGTAATCTTCCAGCAAACCCAAGAGTGAGGAGAGGATCGCACAACAAGAGGGAGTTGTGTGTACAGAGTAAATTTAAGAACAATATACAATACAATAATATACAGAAATCTATATCTATACAAATAAATAAATTGGAGTGTCTGTTTGTAATATTAAAATAACCGCTTTTTACTAAATGCATATGTATGTTTACACGGTACATATGCCAAAATAACATGTTTTACAATTTTTGTCTGTCTGTTTGTTCCGGGTAATCTCTGGAACGGCTGGACCGATTTCTACGGGACTTTCACTAGTAGATAGCTGATGACATAAGGAGTAACTTAGGCTACTTTTTATAGACTAGCTTCGCCCCGCGGCGTTGCCCGCAGTTATAACAACAAACGCGGGTAACACCGCGGGTCTCAGCTAGTAGAATATACAAGTGAATATATACAGAAATAGAAATATACACTAAATAATTGAATATCATGTAAATAAACTAAAATATAACATGAGTATATACATCACATTAATACATGCATAGATTAGTCTGTTACTGCTGACAGAGGAAAAAATTGAAGTTTAGTGTCACATTGTAGATTATTACAAAACAAGTAGTTGATAAGAATGCCACTTGACGACCGGATGGTATAGTGGTTTGTGTAACGGACTGCTTGCTTGCTGCTTGAGTACCCATCCAACAAGCATGGGGGTTGCTGTTGGGCCTCCAGTAACATCACTCACTTTATGCCATCTGTATGGACAGGCTGACTCAATACTATGGTCTTTCTTCTAAAGGCCCACCCAGACCCTATGTTGCACTCACATAGTTCTCTTTAACATTGTTCACGGACTAATAAACATAAAAAGACACCTCTGTTGTTTGTTTCTTCCCAGAGTGAGTCTTAGAAATAGCCAGTGCCTTCTAGCTGTAAACAACTTGAAAAGGTATCTGAAAATATTGACTTACAGAAATAAATATAACTAGCTGACCCTGCAAACGTTGTTTTGCTATTTACATTATTTATTTATTTATTTTTTTTATTTCGTAAAATCCGTTCTTAGCTGACCTCTACTCTGTGAAAAGAATATTCCTACCAAATTTCAAGTCTTTAACTCTAATGGTTTCAGAGATATCGTGATGAGTGACTATATACATGGAAATCTTTTATATATATATATATAGATTTACTAGCTGACCCGGCAAACGTATTGCAAAACAAAAAAAAATTAGGGGAGGGTCACCCTTACCATTTAGGGGTATGAAAAATAGACGTTGGCCAATTCTCAGACCTACCCGATGTGCACACAAAATTTCATGAGAATCGGTCAAGCCGTTTTGGAGGAGTACGGGAACGAACATTGTGACATGAGAATTTTATATATTATTGAAAATAGTTGGTTGGTCACAGTATCTCATAGTAGAGGAGGTAACACAGCAGACAGTGGAGGTGAGCGCTGACGCGTCACAAGTAGTATTCCCTAAACTTACTCCTAGGTCGCAATTCCCAGGCGCTGTCACAGTAATATGTGTTGCTCCATATAAGACGGTGGACCCAGCACCCGCACGGTCAATCCATGGAAAGCTAAGAAAAAGTTCTTCTGGTGCTGGTAGAGTGTGCACATGAGTGCTTAAGCATGGATCTCTATGATATCTTTTAAATTAATTATTAGCAAACAATTTATGTTTTATCATTTCCATATCAGATTGATAATAAATGTTAATCCATCTGACCTCAAAAGAATTGTAATGCAAACAACTATTTGTTGTTGTCGAAATATTTTGTGACCAAAATGATAATATTGGAAATAATTATGAGGTCAAGAACATGTTGATCAACCATGCAACTTCCACGTCAGATGTCCCAAGTTCGATTTCCACTCACTGCAAATATCTGTTCAAAAAGTGTTTGTATAGTGGTTAGCGGTTGTGACTGCCCAGAGGTCATGGATTCGATTCCCAGCCAGGGTAAATAATTGTGCGATGTGCACGATCATTTGTTCCCTGTATGGGTATAATTTATCCATAATAAGTAATGTATGTATTTATAAGCATGTTTATTTAAATGTTATGTGTCCAGCTGACGGCCTGTATTACATATCTGGGACAATATTACGAGAGATATCAGGAAGGTTAAAGAAATTACTACGTTTAAAAAGAAACTACATGACTTGTTGCTAAATAACACAGTTAAAAATGACATGACCTCTCTCTCTCTGTCTCTGCTCCATTACTCTATACCCTAGTCATGATGTGTTCAGTGTTCTCTACTCTTATTATTTTTTATATTACATATCGACAGCAAATGTTATTATTTAATGCTTGTACCTATATTCTAATAATTTTATCTATTGTATGCCCAATGGGCGGGACATAGATGGACTAAATACTGATAACTATAACATCTATATGATGAACCTAATAAACTATAGATAAGATTGATCAGTCTTAGCAGACTAGATAATAATAATAATATTCTACCACATTCACACAACGCCTTCTAGTCCCAAACTAAGCAGAGCTTGTACTATGGGTACTAGACAACTGATATAAATACATATATACTTTCTTTTTTGTAAATACATACATATTATACATAGAAACACCCAGACCAAATCAAACATTAAATGTTCATGCACACAAATGCTTGACTTGAGCGGGAATCGAACCCGCGACCTTTGGAATAGCAGTCCGTTACACAAACCACTACGCCAGGGTCGTCAGATATCCGAATAGTTTTTTATTTATAGACAACGCCCGCAATAGGAATATATCCTGTGTCGTCGGGATTTTACAAACATACATGCAACGGACACAACAAACCAGACTCAGAACAACAATTTGTAGATCACACAAAGTGTCGTCCCATATGGGGATCGAACCCACCACACTTAGCGTTGTAGGAAGCCTCATTGCGACCGCTTAAACCACTACACCATCCGTGCAGTTGCAGGAACCATAACAGGACACCTAGCACTGAACCGACAACTGTACACCATTAATGCCACAGACAGCCCTTTGTGCAGAGGATGCCTGAAAGCAGAAGATATGGTTGCCCACGTAATCCTGGAATGCGAGGGAGTGGCCAAACAACTGGCAAGTACCATACCTGGTACAAAATCACTCCTAGAAGCCTGTAAACGTCCCAGGAGGACTCCGTTTCTGGAAGGAGCTTGGTTGGCTTACTTAGCCAACGTCTCCTAGACCACTCTCGAGTCTAAATGCGGAAATCGGAGCCCACAACCAATACTAATACCAATGTCCATGTCTCCTATGTCGGTCTGTCTGGAACACACTTGTAAGCGTATAAATGGCATCCAAGCGTTTGTAAAGGCTTGGAGCTTGTGGACGTTAGCCAAGCCAGCACACATGTTACACTAGGCATTATATGGCAGTACTATTTCAGGCGGTGCTGGTGGCAAGGGCGTGTGGGGCGCACCAGGGTCTGAACTTCTGGAAGAGTATGTCGAGGACGCCAACGACCCCAACTATGATTCGGAAGCTATCACAAACGGTGATGTGGAATTCAAGCAGATCATTATGGAAGCTGAACCGGATGATGTTGTGGTGAGTAGTTGAAATAATTTTAAAGATATAGAGATTATTCTACTGCGAATTTAATACGAATTATATTTTATACGAAACTGATTTTTATGGGAAAACGTAGAAACCTGTAACCCGATGGTAAGTGACTACCGCCACCTAGACTATCACGTTGCCATCCCACAAGTACCACGTCCCTTTAGGATGAGGGTTGGGTCAGTAACTTCACTCTCTCAGTGAAAAACAACAACAGAAATGCCTAACACCATCATCAACAGCCTTTACTAGTCCACTGCTGAACATAGGCCTCTCCTTAGAAAAGAGGTTTTGGCCTACTGTACCCCGCTGGCCAGACGGGTTGGTATAGGGTTTGTGTCAAGTTTTCCTTCAATTTGCAGTGCTGTTGTCTGCGTAGTTAGCCCTCGCTTTTACGACACCTACGGGATGAATTGAGCTGGTGACACTCCGTATTAATCCGTCACCATACGGCTCCTGCACATAAATAAAAGAAACAGCAAAAAATCAGTCCCATTAAATTTTTATTCGAAAACGTGTTTTTCATCTTTAAGAATATAATCTTGTAAACATTGACTCAAGGTCGCTTATCAGTACAATAACAACAGTAGGTATTGCACGCAATTTTGAATTTTACGACTTTGTGTTAGGATTCGTTATGGCTCAGCATGTTTGTAGAACGTTTGTACCGTGATAAAATATATTGTTTTTACTTGACTCCATACTCAATTCTTGTTTTAAAAACATTCGTTTTAACAGCCAGTGTAGTATCCCTCTATAACCTGCTTAAAGACCTTAGATTGCCAAACGCTTTAGTAACTTCTTTTCTTGAACGAATATCCAAAGCGGCATTTCTATCATCATCATCATCAACAGCCTTTAATAGTCCACTGCTGGACATAAGCTTCTCCTTAGAAAGGAGGTTTTGGCCTACTATACCACGCTGGCCAGACGGGTTGGTATAGGGTTTGTGTCAAGTTTTCCTTCTCTCTGCAGTGCTGTTGTCCTGCGTAGTTTTTTCCCTTAGTCGGCTCTTACGACACCCACGGGATGAATAGGGGTGGTGACACTCTGTATTCTTAATCAAATCTCGTATCAAATATGGTTAGGTAGAGGGGTAACACTGCAGACAGCGGAGGTGAGCGCTGACGCGTCCCAAGGAGTACTCTCTAAACCTATACCTGGGTCGCAAGTCCCAGGCGCTGTCGAAATCGTATCGTATCGTGACTCTTAACAACAATTTCTTGATCACACAGTGTCCTCTTATGTGGGGATCGGAACACAACACTCAGCGTAGTAGTAAGCGGCGTGGCTACCGCTTAAACCACTACGCAATCCGCGCCATCCGTGAAGGATTAAAATCATGTTTTGAAAACAGGAGGAAAATAAACAATATGACTCAAATTTGTCGTGCCTACGTGATGAAAACCTAAGCCCTCTCCCCGTGACCAATCGTGGTATTTTGAGGACCCCCCCTGAACGGGTCATGTAGTATTGGTATGTTCCCGTACCTAAACTTCCTTTCGAGAAACCATACAAGATTGTCAATTGAATAACTTACTTTAAAGGAAAGTTTTTTTTTAAATAATAACTGCAAACTTCATTCCGAAATTTTCACCCTTAAGCGTGTAATTTTTTTCTTCAAATTTGTATGGGTACAAACGGGAAGCATACCGTTTCAAATAACACACGTTATTTCCAAATCGGCTCATAAATAAGAGGTTACAAACATAAAAAAAACACCCGACCTGAAACCCTCCTTTTGAAGTTAAAAATAAATCGAATCGAATTTAGAAGCCCGTGTTACTCCTACTCACATACGACCTTTTGATTTCAAAATAGAACCTCCTCCTTTTCTCGAACCTGGTTTTTTTTTAAAGGTCTACTAGCAACCGAAATTACTAGTATTCCCGTTAACCCCTCCCGCTAAACTGCATTGCTTGTTAGGAGTGGGTTCCCGTCGGTAGTATACTATTCAGAATTTGAACCCACGACCTCTTGATCACAAGTCTAACGCCTTAACCACTAGGCTGCCGCCACTAGAAGAATCATTGGAACGAAATATTAACACTGCATCATCATCATCAGCCTATCGCAGTCCACTACTGGACATATCTCTCTCTTCTCGCATCCAGCATTCACACGATGGCTAGCACACAGCCGTCGTGTGAATGCGAATCGTCACTCCACCTTTCCTGTGGGCATCCTACACTATCCATACTAACATTATAAATGCGAAAGTCTGTCTGTCTGTTACTCTTCACCACTTTAAATCGCTAAACCGATTTAGATAAAATTTGATATAGAGATAGTTTGAACCCCGGGAAAGGACTGAGGATAGTTTTTATCTCTAAAATCATTCTTTAAGGGGGTGAAAAGGGGAGTGGAAGTTTGTATGGGGAATCAATAACCGCTGAACCGTTTTCTATAAAAGGTATGGAGATTGATTCTTTAGGAAGGACATAGGCTACCTTTTACTACAATAACCGACATACACGCGGGCGGAGCCGCGACCAAACCCTAGTTGTTTATAACCGTAACCGTGGGTGTCGTAAGAGGCGACTAAGGGAGCGAAATACGCAGGACACCAGCACTGCAGAGAGAAGGAAAACTTGACACAAACCCTATACCAACCCGTCTTGCCAGCGTGGTATTGTAGGCCAAAACCTCCTTTCTAAGGAGAGGCCTATGTCCAGCAGTGGACTGTTAAAGGCTGTTGATGAACCGTTTACCATCAGACAGAAATCTCAAACAAGATACATTTGTGTTATAAAGTTGTAAACACGAATAATTAAACTTGTAACCAACTGGGTATATATTTATTTGTCGTGTTATCATAAAATGAACCTTTTGTCTTCCACCATGAGGTATATATTTAGGTTGTTGATAATCGAAGATTATTTTGTATGCAACGCGCCCGTCTCCATGTCTACAACACGGGTCGTTGACCTTCCCCCCCAAGATAAAAGCGACCGTGATTGCCAGCTGACACACATATAAAGCGATTCTATACTCGGTGCGGTCACGTAGACAAAAAATACTGTCTGTTATGTATGGTTATTACATATTAGCTGACCCGCGCAACTTCGTCTGCGTCTCTCAATAGTAATAAATTTTCTATGTTTTTGAAACATTCTTCATTGGTGCGCCGTTCCTATTGGTCTTAGCGTGATGATATATAGCCTATAGCCTTCCTCGATAAATGGGCTATCTAACACTGAAAGAATTTTTCAAATCGGACCAGTAGTTCCTGAGATTAGCGCGTTCAAACAAACAAACAAACTCTTCAGCTTTATAATATTAGTATAGATTTACTCCTGGAATTTCCTCCTTTACTTACATATCACAATCGCCTTTGATAAATATGAACATTTGATTTATAAATCATACTATCATTATATCATACTATCATACAACCTGTGATTAATTTACAAAACTACTGCTACCTATTATTATTATTACGCTAACGCCAAACTCGCCAGGTCTAAATATAAAAGAAAAAAAACAAAACGGTCGTAATCTTTAAGACAAAGAATTTTGATGCCATTTATCTTTGTCTACGGCCAAATCACATTAGCAGGTGAAATCGCAGTGACTGGAAATATTATCATATGATTATGATTAAAAAGTATTAATTATTTCTATTATTTTCCAATGCACATATGTACGAGAACCTGACATAAGAAATTAATACACCAGTGATTGAGTTCAGCGAAGTCGTTACTTATTTACCACCTTACCAACATATCAGTTTTATTGTGTGCTGTTTTGAGGGGCGGGAAGGGGGGGGGGGGGGGTGACATGATGACAAAACCAACTACTTGGGGTAGATGACTGATAAGTCTCAGTATCTTATTATTAAATATCAAAACGAATTATTATTAAATTGTCTATCTATACAAATAAATAAAATTGAAGTGTCTGTTTCTAATGTGAAAATAATACGTTTTTTTCATGCTCACACGGTTATTTGCACGATACCTACGATCTTCAAAACGGCTGGGCCGATTTTGATAATATTTTACTACCAGGTAACTCTATATAAGGAGTAACTTAGGCTGTTTTTCCTCAGAAAATCTATAAATTTTGCCCGGTCTGGGTATCGAATCCACTATGGCAGCGCTCTTCAAATTCCTCGCGAACGAAGTAGCATGCACCAGCTAGTTTATAATATAAGCTTAGAAGTATGGATATTTGTTTAGAAACACATGTGTATGACAAACGGCAATAGGCCGATTAGCAGCAGCAGCAAGCAGCAGCAGCAACAGCCTTTAATAGTCCACTGCTGGACATAGGCCTCTCCTTAGAAAGGAGGTTTTGGCCTACTATACCACGCTGGCCAAACGGGTTGGTATAGGGTTCTTTTCAAGTTTTCCTTCTCTATGCAGTGCTGTTGTCCTGCGTAGTTTGCTCCCTTAGTCGCCTCTTACGACACCCTCGGGATGAATAGGGGTGGTGACACTGTATTCTTTATCCGTCACCACACGGATGGGCCGATAACAGAAGTCCAACTTAAATCTAAAATAACAAAATGTGGCGTATCAACTCAACTTTGTTTACCCCTTCGTTGATAAAGGCGTTAGTGTATTTATTTTGTTTGCATGTCCGTAGTAACTAAACAATCAATTGACTTAATAACAGCAATCTATACTAATATTATAAAGCTGAAGAGTTTGTTTGTTTGTTTGAACGCGCTAATCTCAGGAACTACTGGTCCGATTTAAAAATTCTTTCAGTGTTAGATAGCCCATTTATCGAGAAAGGCTATAGGCTATATATCATCACGCTAAGACCTATAGGAGCGGAGCACCAATGAAGAATGTTTCAAAAACGGAGAAAATTTATTACTATTGAGAGACGCAGACGAAGTTGCGCGGGTCAGCTAGTAATGTAATAATTTAATTGATGGGATAAAAAAAAAACAAACAAAAAAAGACTAATAACTTTTTAAATTGTTGTAGGGATTGTGATATTTTTAATTCATATTTGTTTATGTATATCTAGCGCAAGTCCGAACCGGTGATTTTGGAGTACTTCGAGCATGGAGACACGGATGCTGCTGCTCAGGATTTCTTGGAATTCGTGACGTCCTCCACCAGCTATCTGGTAAGTACATTGTCAGTGATGTGGAATAACCAGTGTTACATTCTTCAAATAGAAAGGTGGGGTGCTTCCACTAGAATAGGTGATGTCTGGTGGACTGCAGCCCAATAATCTAATAAATATCTCGTGTTACGGTGTTCGTGGTGGCACTCCTCCGAAACGGCTCATTCGATTTAGTGTTTATTTCGTAGTTATGAGAATAGGTCGTTAAGTATTCGTCCTTCTTTCTCCCCCCTCCTCCCATATTTATTCGCGATTTTAGTATTTTTGGATGAACTTATTTTCTTACGGTTTCCTCAGCATAATTCTTGCCGTCAATAACAAGTTCCCAAGGCCAGAGAAAACATATGGCGGTATAAGTTCCCTCTCTCCTATTTCTTGCCCCTGGCAGAAAACCTACCTCCAGGAGATAAACTCCCCTGGCCAACCTGGAAGGCGCTTAATAGGTTGCATACCCAGGTTGGCAGATATAAGAACAATCTGTCAAGGTGGGATTTATCGACCCAAGCTCATAAATGCGACTATGGCGCATCTCCACAGACAATGGGCCACTAGCTAACATGCCCTGCGAGCCCAGAGTCGTGTACACTTGACGACTTGTGTGGTGACGGATTAAGAATACAGAGTGTCACCACCCCTATTCATCCCGTGGCGGCCTCCCCTTAGAAAGGAGGTTTTGGCCTACTATGCCACGCTGGCCAGACGGGTTGGTATAGGGTTTGTTTCAAGTTTTCCTTCTCTCTGCAGTGTTGTTGTCCTGCGTAGTTTTCTCCCTTAGTCGCCTCTTACGACACCCACGGGATGAATTGGGGTGGTGACAATGTGTATTCTCCGTCATAATATAAACTCCGTCTTAATATAAACCAATTTGCAAAATTCTATTTTTTGTTCGAAATGGTCCCATTTAAATTTCATATACATAGATCTGATGATGAGCTTCGGAGACAGACAACGGAACTCTTCAAAAAATGACAGCAATTGCTGATTGCTGATAGGTTTTTAGTGCTCTTTGTTAGTGTTGTTTCAAGGCGACGAACTTATTTTTAAAAAGGATTTATTGATAACCGGCTTATGCCCGCGGCCGCCCGCGTAAATGTCGTTTATCGCTGTAAAAAGTAGCGTATGTCTTCCATCAAGAAACAAAGTATCTCCATACCAAATTTCACCTAAATCGGTTCAGCTATTCTTGATGTCTCATACAAACATCCACCCCCCCTTAAAGTATGATTTCTTTGATAAAAACTACCCTGTGTCCTTTCCCGGGACTCGGCCTTTCTCTTAATTCATTCATAATACTTTATTTGTGAAATATAGGTTAGTTACAAATCTTAAATGTTATGTTAAAGTTCCACTACATCCTACCACATTACGTGGTGAACAAATAATAAATCGAGAAAATAATAATTACAATTTAAATACATCACAAAAGAAAGAAGAAAAGACAATTTATGCGTCTACAAATATTGAGTCCAAATAATTACATAAGAATTTTTCTGTATGTCAATTTTTAAATCATTATTAGCATGCCAATATTAAAATAATTCTACATAATAATATATATTACATTATTTTGTCATGGAAATATTCGTCAACAGAGTAATAAGCTTTCAATATCTCTTATATTCTATATTCTCTTTACCAAATTTTCTCTAAATCGGTTCAGCGGTTTAGACGTGACGAGGTGACAGACAGACACACTCACATTTATAATATTAGTATGGATAGGCTTTTATTGACATAAATTAGGTTCACCACATTATGGGGTTCTGTCTCACCTGCGCTACTAAAGACTGTTGCAGGTGTCGTTCTTGTCCATTACTAGTGATGGTAGTTTTACATAAATATTCTATGTAATATTAAAAATATGGCTAATATGCGTGAGCGTTTGCGTGTTTGTTTGTGTGTCTGTGTGTGTGTGTGTGTTTTTAAGGTTCCTTACGTCAGAAGGAAAAAACGGAACCCTTATAGGATCACTCTGTTGTCCGTCTGTCTGTCTGTCTGTCAAGACCCTTTATTACGAGAACGCGTGGAGGTATCGGGTTAAAATTAAAACCCTATACTCAGGTGTACGGAATCAAAATTCATCGGGTACTTGTCGTTGACCTATAAGTCTGAAATTTAATAAAACTCAAGAATATAAGTAATAATAGTTAGGAAACTGAATTTCGGACAAAGCTCGGCAAAAACTGCGAAATTCGATTCCTGAACCATTTATAATATGTACCTACAAATGTGTACGGAACCCTCGGTGGGCAGGAACGACTCGCACTTGTCCGGGGTTTTTTTTTTCAATTATTGTCTCTTAAATTTGTTGTTTGTCAACAGGCTTGCGAAACCATTGTTGAAATTGCACTGGACCACAAACCCTCCCACTGCGAGATGGCTTCGGTCCTCATCTCTGACCTCTACGGCAGAGTTTTCTCAGGCAAAGATATTGGAATTGGTAAGCAAAATTAGCTTTTATCATCTACCATTTAGGGTTCGAAAAAACTGCTCCCAACTTTTTTTAGGTATTTAAAAAAAAAGTATTTATGTTGTCTGCTAAGTTTGGGAGTAGATGGCGTTGTGTGAATGTGGTAGAATATTATATTCCGTACCTCAACTTGTATATTACGACGGCCCTGTTGGTCTTGTGGTTAGTGACTCTGACTGCTAGGCCGAAGGTCTTTGGTTCAATTCCCACCCAGGGCAAATACGTATATTGTGAGATGAGCACGGTCATTTGTTCTGTGTCTGGGTGTAATTCATCTGTAATATTTATGTATTTAAAAATATAAAAGTATGTTTATCAGCAGTCTGGTTACCATAGTACGGGCTCTGCCTAGTTTGAGATCAGACGGCCATGTGTGAAATGTGTGAAAAATATTATTATTAGGTGAGGTATATTGTGTGAGGTATATTGTGTGAGGTATATTATTGTTATTATTTCCTTCCAGCGTTCGACAACCTGCTCGAGAAGCTGCCGGACCTGGTGCTGGACACTCCTGACGCGGCGGTTCTCCTGTCGAACTTCATCGCGCGGTGCGTGGCCGACGACTGCCTCCCGCCTCGCTTCGTACTCAACAATAAAGAGAAGACGGACGCTAATTCACATGCCAAGTAAGTCAACCACAGAGATCGAACCCACGACCTCGTCCTTAGCAGCCAAGATCACTTACCAGTAGACTTAACAGACTAGTCGACACGTCAACCGCGACTGCACGGATGGTGTAGTGGTTTGAGCGGTCGCCACGACGTTTCCTACTGCGCTGAGTGTTGTGGGCTCGATCCCCACATGGGACGACACTTTGTGTGATCCACAAATTGTTGTTCTGAGTCGTGGTGTTCTTTGTGTGGGAAGTCCTCGCCGACATAGGATATATATTACTAATGCAGTTGTCTTTAAAAAAACAAACAGATGTGTAAGATTAATGTGATTTCAGTGTTCCTCGAATTTTATACTTTCTCGCCAAATATTGTGTTTAGTGAAGATCAAACTTGAAATATCTTTTTTTTTCTTTAAAAAGACATCTCCCGTATTAAGAATATATCCTGTGTCGCGGAGGACTTTACAAACATACATGAAACGGACACAAAGAACACCCAGACTCAGAACAACAATTTGTGGATCACACAAAGTGTCGTCCCATGTGTTGACCCACAACACTCAGCGTAGATGAAGCGGCGACTCCTTAAACCACTACGCCATTCGTGCAGTATCTTTATTTCATAACTAGCTGACCCGCGCAACTTCGTCTGCGTCTCTCAATAGTAATAAATTTTCTCCGTTTTTGAAACATTCTTCATTGGTGCGCCGCTCCTATTGGTCTTAGCGTGATGATATATAGCCTTCCTCGATAAATGGGCTATCTAACACTGAAAGAATTTTTCAAATCGGACCAGTAGTTCCTGAGATTAGCGCGTTCAAACAAACAAACAAACTCTTCAGCTTTATAATATTAGTATAGATTATTTTTAAGTCTCAGACTCCTAAGTCATAGATCAACACATACAATAGCAACATTATGTTGTGTCAAATATTTAGCAGAATTAAGACAATCCATTATATACCTGTGACAATCTACAACCGCCCGTTTCCAAAAGTTTGAGCCCTATAAGAAGGAAGAGTAAACAAGGAAACGAACAGATGGGTAACAGGGAACAGGTGATGTAAGTAACCACCGGCCCTCGTTAACACATGGAAGTCCTGGTGACTTCCACGTGTTCTCCATCTTAAACTTTGTCATCGCCATGTTAGGGTACACGATGGCTGGGGCCCGTATGACGTCTGTATAATATAGAAAATATTATATATAACTAGCTGACCCGGCAAACGTTGGTTTGCTTTGATTTCTTTGTTTTGATTTCTAGGAAATTTTGAAAAAATATATTTAGTAATGGGTCACCCTTATCATTTAGGGGTATGAAAAATAGATGTTGGCCGATTCTCAGACCTACCCGATGTGCACACAAAATTTCATAAAAATCGGTCCAGCCGTTTCGGAGGAGTATGGTAACTAACATTGTGATACGAGAATTTTATATATAAGATTTATATAGTTTTTTTATCTTATTTTAAATTGCACATTTTGGGGCGAAAACGAAATATGTCTTGTGTACACAAAATTTAAGTGAATCTCGTCGTTATTGATGCGTAATCTTAATTTGTTTGGTTCCACAGACAGGCGATACACAGGGCGGAAACGTTGCTGTCCATGAAACAGGGTCTGGCGCGGCTGGACAACATTTGGGGAGTCGGAGGTGGTATCAGGTAAATATATTGTTAAAAGAATAAAATGTGTGTAAAGACTGGCCTGTTGGTCGAGTGGTTAGTGACCCTGACTGCTACGCCAGAGCTCGTGGGTTCGATTCCCACCCAGGACAAATAATTGTATGATGAGCACTATCATTTGTTCTGTGTCTGGTTGCACCTTATCTATTATATGTTTGTATTTAGGAATATATAAGTACTCGTATGTTTATCAGCAGTCTGGTTACCATAGAGCGCAGGCTTTGCCTAGTTTGGGTCCTTGCGTGAGATGCGTAAAAATATTGTATACATTAAATTACGATGAAATTAAACAAGCTAGCATATTCATTTAGGGTTAATACTACATTTACTTTAAAATTAATATTATTTTGTTAGTCATAAGTACATAAATAAAATAAGCCTTTATTACTGGCTACTTTATTATCCTATCCGTGTGGTGACGGATTAAGAATACAGAGTGTCACCACCCCTATTCATCCCGTGGGTGTCTTAAGAGTCGACTAAGGGAGCGAACTACGCAGAACAGAGCACTGCAGAGAGAAGGAAAACTTGACACAAACCCTTTTTTTTTTTTTTTTTTTTTTTAACGTGTGGAAATCCCCTCGGACCGTCACCCCTCCGGGGTTTGCGGCGGGGTGGTGTGTCGGACTCGGACCGACTAAAACCACACGGTGTGCCACTCTGCGCCTGTAACAGGAGGGATCCGGGAACTGCTGTTGTTAAGACATCCGGACCCCTCCTAGCGCCAGCCCGCTCCTGGTGCGGGTTCCGTCTCAATATATTTTTTCCTCTCTTTAGGCGACGTCCGGCACACGCGGACGCCGCCCCCTCGCGGCTGGCCAAACTAATGCGGGTGGAGGGGAAACCCACCCCGTCCACCCGCGGCCACACTCAGGGCGGCATGAGGCTGTGATAGGCGGGCCTCCGCCGCCCGGTTCGCCGGCGGCGGATCGGGTCCGAGTGGAGGTCGTCCTCCCGGGCCCTCTCCGCCGCCTCCTTCCGCGAGATTACTACCTCGCAGAAGGTTGCGACCGCGGTAAAACAACTGTCGCTACCGGCCATGGAGCGTACGCTCTCCAGCCGGAACGACCAACGAGCCATCGTGGCTCGGCGAGCGGCTTCGCGCCACTCGCGCACATCCTCGGGCGGAGGGCGAAATCCGCTCTCCGCCCGGGAGTCAGCCACTCGCCTCTAAATCGCCTCACTCGATAAACTTCGGCGAGCACTTCCGCCTCCAAATCCCACGGGGAGTTCCGGCCAACGCGCATGCCACCTCCGTCGAAACGGTGCGGTAACCGCGTATGGCTCTGACCGCCATTACCCTCTGAGGGCGCCAGAGGCGTACCCTATTCTGGGCGGTCAGAGCCGCCGCCCACACCGGTGCACCGTACAGTGCCATTGACCGGACAACCCCCGTGTACAGCCGTCTTGTCGCGACGCTGGGTCCACCCATATTGGGCAACAGTCGCCCTAGGGCAGACGCAGCGCCGACCAGCTTTGGAGCAAGCTGTCGGAAGTGCTCGTCGAAGAGCCACCTCCCGTCGAGGATCAGGCCCAGATTTTTCATCTGGGCCCGAACCGGTACGAGGACCGAGTTGACCACGATTGAGGCGCCAGGGGGTGGTCTACGACGGGGCCCATGAAATAACAGGGCCTCCGTCTTATCCAGGGCCACCCGTAAGCCCAGCGCCTCAATGCGCCCGACCACGAGGGAGACTCCCCTTGCGGCCAGGCGCGCCGCCTCTTGGAAGTTTGCCCCCCGGGCTGTCACCAAGGTATCGTCTGCGTAACAGATTACACCCAGCCCGGGGGGGAAATCGGCGCGAAGGGCCCAGTCGTACCCTATGTTCCACAAGAGGGGTCCAAGAACAGACCCCTGTGGAACACCGCACGACATGGGCCGACACCTCAAATTACCTTCTCGGTCCTCGTACACGACGGTACGCTCCTCTAAATAGTCTGCCACTAGCCGCCTCAGGTACTTTGGCACCCCATGATAGTGGAGTGCTTCCCTGATGCAGCTGAATGGCAGACTATTGAATGCGTTGGCGATGTCTAATGACACCGCCAACAGCACGCCGCCACAGCTCACGGCCTCTTCGGTCACGGCCCTCAGGCGCAACACGGCGTCGACTGTCGAACGCCCCGCCCGAAAACCAAATTGGGCGTCCGACAGATCGGGGCCCACCTCGTAGAGGTGCCGGACGATGCGGGCAGAAAGAACCCTCTCAAACAATTTGCCCGCCACGTCCAGCAGCACGATGCGCCTATAGTTTTTAAAACACATTGTTACTAACACTATATGGATGTAATAGTCCGAAATAAATAATTTGAATTTGAATAGGCCGCGACCGAATCGGCAGGCCGTCCCGGCTTCCTCAATAGGACCAGCTTCCCGCTCTTCCAGCACTCAGGGAAGCGTCCCGACGCCAAGCTAGCGTCGAACACCTCCCCGAGGCGGTCTGCCATGTGGTTGAGGGCCAGGGCCAGCACTCGGGCCGGTACCCCGTCAGGCCCAGGGGCGGTGTTCTTGGAACGGATCCGTAGAACAGCCGCCCCTACCTCCGAATCCCGGAGCCGTGCTCCCCGTCGTCTCCGGCCAGGGAGGCCATCGACGGGGGAGTGTGTTCCGCCCGTTGTGGGAAGAGGCCCTCAATCACTTCTCGCAGGAAGCTGGGCTGGAGAGTCTCCGTAAGGGGGGGGCCCGACGCGCGGAGCTTTTGTCGCACCGCGCGGTAAGGGCGACCCCAGGGGTCACGATTAAGACCCTCCAGCATCTCCTGTCTCTTTTCTTCTTTGGCGCGGCTAATGGCCAGCTTCAGAGTTTTCCGCGCCCGTCGGTACTCCTCATGAAGCCGGTCCTCCTCACCGTCTCCACGGTGACGCCGCCGACTGTTAATGATTGTTGATTGATTACTGTAAAATAATTACATAGCTTAACATCCTTTTTTTTTTTTTTTTTTTTTTTTTTTTTTTTTTTTTTTTTTTTTTTTTACGGGGGGAGATCCTCATGGATGTCCTCCGCCCAGGGGAAAGGGCGGAGGGGTCTGTCAGACTCCTACTGACTAAAACCCCCCGGTGTTCCGTCTCTCACCTACGCCGGGGATCGCGGGAACTGAGGTGACTTCCGCAATCCCCGACTGGTGCCGGCCCGCCGCTGCGGGCCACATCGCGTCAGCGAGGGGAGTGAGGTGTTTGACTCCCCTCGCGACTACACAGAGGGGCGCACGGGAACACAACGCGCCGCCACCTCGGGTCCAGATGGGGCGACGAACATCCCCAAGTCCGTCGCCCCTGGACCCAGCTAGGGGGGCCGGTGGAGGGCAGCATATGCCCTCCTCCGACGCCCGGTGCGCCTGCTGCGGATCGGGAGAGAGGTCAGGATCTCCCTCTCCCTCTCCGCAGCCTCCTTCTGCGAGATAACCGTTTCGCAGAAGGACGCCATCGCGTCCCAGGACTCCTCGCTGTCGACCATAGAACGAACTACGGCCGGCAGCGAGAGGTCACTGCCTACTACAGATATGAGGGCACGGCGCGGCTCCTCCCAGGCGGCACACTCTGCCAGCGTATGCCGCGCCGTGTCCTCCCGACAGTCGACGCAGTGGTGACACCGAGCGTCCGGCTCCCTGCCCAAGCGACACAGGAACCTCCCGAAGCAGCCATGCCCAGAGAGGACCTGCGTCACACGGAACGACAGGGAGCCGTGCCTTCTGTCGAGCCAGAGGTCGAGCACTGGCCGGATGGCCTCGATAGTGACAAGGCCGGCGGAAGGGCGTGAAAGCCTGTCCCGCCATTCCACCACCAGGACCTCGCGCAGCTGTGACCGACGCAGCTCGATGTCTCGCTGCGCCAGTCCCTCACCGCGAGTCCGCGCGTCCTCACGCCATCGATGCAGTGACGCGAGGACTTTTGCCTCCAGGTCCCAGGGCGGAGATCCGGCCAGTACGCAAGCCGCCTCGTGGGAGATCGTGCGATAACCCCTAACAACTCTGACGGCCATCACCCTCTGCGGCTTCCGCAGAACGGTGATAGCGCCGGCCGTCAGGTCAGCCGCCCAGATAGGGGCCCCATATAGGGCCATCGATCGCACTATCCCCTCGTACAGCCGCCTGCAGGCGGCTCTCGGGTCCGACCTATTGGGAAGCAGCGTTGACAGCGCCCCAGCCGCGCCCAACAACTTGGGCGCCAGCCGCCGGAAGTGGGGGCCAGGATCCCACCGGCTGTCGAGCACCAATCCTAGATATTTTAGGGTGGACTCGACAGCGATTCGAGCCCCCCCAACCACCATGTGCAAATAGCTTAACATCCTAACCTATACCTTTAACTAAAACGTAATTCGAATTTAATATTAATTTTCAAAAATCCGTTTTTTTGGAGTGACTACTTTTTTTGGAGTGACTACTTGTCTAGCCGCGTTGAGCGATTTTTTGTTGGAAAAACTTGAGTTCGCGTTACCGATGACATCGACTTGCTCTTGAAGTATTGCGTCCATTGTTTTGAGTTTTCATTTCTGTCGGCAGTCCTTATGACTGCCTGTTTTTTTTTTTTTGTTGACGGGGTGGTAAATCTCAGCAGCTAGGAGGAGATGATGCCACTAGAAACCACCCCGACGGCCGGCCGCAAGTTTGGGAGGACCTGTACCATGAGATTTCCGGGCCTCAATTCTGCTATTTTATGTTAACGCCAAGCCACTGTCATTCTATTGAGCTGTCATTGACATAGGTCAATATATCAGTATTCTACTAACATAATTTCACAGTGTCAATAGACTGTCCATATAGTAATATAGGTCATCAATGGTGATATCAACAACATTGCAATACCTGGCAAATTAAATATACCAATTACTTATACATTTAAAATGTACCCTTTACTAAACTATTACAAAGACTTCGAATACATTTTTATCAGTGGAAGTTCAGTGACAAGTCATGGGAGGCCATTGGCCATAGAATACGAAAAGTGCAAAACCATTCCGACGATATTCCATCGACAGTCTATTGATACAATATTCAAATAGCAGAATTGAGGCCCTGGTACGGGGAGGTCGTATCGACACCACCTAATCAAGCCCTATCCTGGAGGAAGAGACTTCTCCCCCCTCAACCGGCGCGTGGCGGCCCGATTGCCTCTTAATGCGATCAGACGACCATCCGCAACAATTAATCTACCACCAGACCCTTAAATTAATAAGGAAAATTAAGTATAGAAATACAGAATTCTGTGTTACTTTTTAAAGTATATTATTAAAACCAATTGATGTTTTCAGGCCGGTGAAGTCGCTGATTCGACAGATCCAATTACTTCTAAAGGAGTACCTGACTTCTAGTGACTTAATAGAGGCTATGAGGTGTGTGAGGGAACTCGAAGTGCCTCACTTCCACCACGAACTTGTTTATGAGGTAAATATATGGGGACTATGAGGTGTGTGAGGGATATTTCTATTTTATATAGTATATGTGAAAATGAGTTTGTTTGTTTGTTTGTAACACTTTGACGCCTAAACCACTAAACCGATTTTCAAAATTCTTTCACCAATGGAAAGCTACATTATCAGCGAGTAACATAGACTACTTTTTACCGTGATAACCGACATACTTAAGCGTTGATCTTGTTAAAGAACGCGTTCTAAGTTTTACTCAGTTTAAACTAATCTCAAGCATTGATTTGAACTTAGTCTGTTCTTAATTACGTTTCCGCTTGATCGTCATTATTATTCCGTATTACGCAGCCAATTATTTAAAAAAATATTTACAATATTTACATACGACCATCAAAGATTCCAAACAAGGTTTTTATTTTTATATTTCTCAAATATAAATTACTAGAATAATATTTTTGCCGTAAACCAAAAGGTGTTTTTTTTGGTGATTTTAATTTATACAAGTAATTGAATGTGAATTTAAAGGAATTGAATATCAGCGATTATGTATGACAAGTAATTCTTTCGTAAATAAAGTAAAGTAAATCTTTCGTAATTATTCAGAAACAAATTATCGTAAAACAAGTTCATTTCCCCTAAAATGCTCTAGAAATCACAGCTTGAGATTAATTTCAGCTTGTCTCACGTAAATTTTGTACTTAAGGTATTTATGTATTTTGTTATAGACTGTTCTGCTGGCATTGGAATCAATTAATTCAGCTGTTGAAGAACAGCTGTGTACATTCCTCGCGGAGCTGAGACGAAGTGTGATAGTCACTCCGGACCAGATGGACAGGGTAAGGTCATCCTAACTTATATATACAATAACTACTACGTATAAGACAAAATTTTATATTCCAAATAATTGCAAAGCTGAGGAATCCTAGCTAGGTCAGTCTATGGATGGGTGAGCATTCTTATAATATTGAGACCTCTCTGTGATTCAGATAAACCCTAAAAGTCCCATAACAGTCTTTCTACAGAACTTCGATATCGCCTAGTATTTGGGTTGTGAAGTGACGGATTAAGAATACGGAATGTCACTACCCCAATTCATCCCGTGTGTGTCCTAGAAGCCGTCTAAGGACGCAAAACAACGCAGGACACCAGCACTGCAAAAAGAAGGAAAACTTGACACAAACCCTATACCAACCCGTCTGCCCAGCGTGGTATAGTAGGCCAAAGCCTCCTTTCTACGGAGAGGCCTGTGTCCAGCAGTGGACTGTTGGAGGCTGTTGATATGATGTGATGTGAAGGTCTGATGGCAGTCGCTCCGCGTTAAAAAATTGATGGTAGACTTAAAGCCGAAAACAACCTAGTTTGGGAAATTACTGGGAGCTTGGATTATCTATACAAATAAATAAAATTGGAGTGTCTGTTTGTTATATTAAAATAACCGCTTTTTACTAAATGCATATGTATGTTTACACGGTACATATGCCAAAATATCATTTGTTACAAGTTTTGTCTGTCTGTGTGTTTGTTCCGGGTAATGTCTGAAACGGCTGGACCGATTTCGACGGGACTTTCACTGGCAGATAGCTGATGACATAAGGAGTAACTTAGGCTACTTTTTTTAGACTAGCTTCGCCCCGCGGCGTTGCTCGCGGTTATAACGACAAACGCGGGTAAAACCACGGGTCTCAGCTAGTGTTAAGTAATAATAGTGAAACATCTGAAACAACGCCTACAAGTTTCGAACTAAACAGAGCTTGTACTATGATAACTAGATTGACTAATAGAATACTTACACACTTTTATTGTAAATACATAAATATTATACACGGATGACTGAGACTGCACGGATGGCGTAGTGGTTGAAGTGGTCGCCACGCCGCTTCCTACTGCGACGAGTGTTGTGGGTTCAAACCCCACATGGGACGACATTTTGTGTGATCCACAAATTGGTGTTCTTTGTGTTCGTTTCATGTATGTTTGTAAAGTCCCCCGCGACACAGGATATATTCCTAATGCGGGAGTTGTCTTATAAAAGAATTAAAAAAAAAAACATAATAATACATACAAATATTTGCAGATCATTCAAACATTTATTACGACCCGGGAATCGAAGCTGAGACCTCAGTACAGCATTAGCATACGCTACCTCTGAGTCAGTCTTAAGCTACTAATTTATGCTTCTGATTGTCAGGGTTTCCTCCGTGTGCTGGAGGACATGAGCGACATAGTGCTGGACGTGCCCCTGGCGTATATAATGCTGGACCGGTTCATGGAGAGGTGCCAGAACAAGTTCCGCCTCGGCGATAACGTGCTTAAGCGTATGCCTACCAGGTGCGTATACAATAGTATTGGAGATTTTGAGTGGGGGTAGTCTAAAGAACATGTGATTAATAGCCAACCCCAACTATACAAGTGAGGAAATTTATTAGGGTTCTTCTATCAAAGACTATTCCTCTATAATCAAAAAGAGGGGAGGTCTCACAAATGTGACCATTGTCAAGGAGAAAGTGGGGGTCAAAAAGCCGTGACATTCGTGTGAAGTAATTTATGGATAGCCCACAATGTGAAGTCTCTCAGAGTAGAGAGGTGTAGGGATAGAATATGTAAATGTGAATTGAAAAGAAAGAGGGGGGTTAAGATGAAATAAAAGGGAGTAGGGGAAAGGAGGGGAGAAGTAAGAGTGAAAGATATTATTAGAGAATAATAATAGAAAGGGGCGACCCCTAGAGAAGGAAGAGTAGTGAAAGACAAAATATATATATTAAAAAACGAATTTACTAACATATTTTATTCAGAAACTATATCATTAAACTTTTTACTAACAGTTTAACTATCTTTCTTAAAATTTACGCATTTAATTTTTATAGCCATGAGCTGCTAATTTGAAGAATTCCAAAGGGCTTAAAGGGTCTATGGGGAAGATGACTGATTTGATAACACATCTCACACATGGCCATCTGGTCTCAAACCCGGCAGAGCCTGTGCTATCAGAGTCTGGTTATCAGAATGCTTATAAACATACTTATATATTACCAAATAAAAAAAATATTGTGGATAAATTACACCCAGACATAACAAATGATCACGAAATTATTTGTTCAGGATGGGAATCGAACCCACAACCAACGGCTTGGAAGTCAGGTTCACTAACCACTTAACCAAAAGGCCAGCAAAGTAACCAATTTACATTTAGCAGGCAATCGAACCCGCAACCCTAACAATACAGACTACACCCACTCCGCTCAGATCAATAGTAAATTTATACAAGATTTTGAATTTTAAGAAAATTCTTGAGTAAATTTCTGATGAAACTTTTGGAAACTGTCAACCATTTCCCTCAATAAATCCATTTGTGGTAAGATTGTAGTTCTAAAGTGATAAGTGCCGGGTTCCTGGCCGAACCCTGAACCTGGCACCACGCAGATGCCTGTCGCTTCGAGCAGTCTAAACGCGTAGAACACATCCGGCTCCTGACCAGCTTTCTTGGCTGCCTCTATCGCTTTTCCAGATAGTTCTATGCGCGGGAAAGCGTACATGGCGCCCTGAAAAAAATGTCTATTTATTATTTTGTTTAAGCAATTCTTTTTTTTATGGTAAAAGGGGGCAAATGAGCAGACGGGTCACCTGATGGTAAGCAACACCGTCGCCCGTGGACACCTGCAACTTAAAAGTCACAAGTGCGTTGCCGCCCTTGGAGTCTCTCCCGCTCGAGTCAGCGGGAGGGGGATTTGGGCTCCGGCAACCTCACTCACTCATTGAAAGTCAACGAAAGAGCAATTCTTTTCTTCTTCTTTAACACCATGTTTTGTGAGGCCGTGGTATCACTCTTAATTCTTTTGTGAGTGAAGGTATTGGAGGTCCAACGGGGTTGGGGGTGCTTATTTGGGCCGTTAGAGTTTATTATATCAAATGTTGGTGTGATGTCAATAAAGTGGTGAGTTGAGGGAATTGAACTAATAAAGCAATGAGGTTAATGTATTCAGTATTTGACGGGCCTCTTGTTCTAGTGATTAGTGACCCTGACTGCTAAGCTGGAGGTTGTGGGTTCGATTCCCGACCAGGACAAGTGATAGTGTGATGAGCAAGGTCATTTGTTCTGTGTGTGGTTGTAATTTATCTATAATATGTATATATTTAGAAATATATAAGTATGTTTATCAGTAGTCTGGTTACCGTAGCATAGGCTCTGACTAGTTTGGGATCAGATTGCCATGGGTGAGATGTGTCAAGTTTTTATTATTATTATACATTACACACATATATTTAATCCCATAAGAGGTAAACAGAGAGGTATGAGATATAGGCAATATTTGTCCTGGGTGGGAATTAAATCCACGACCTCTGGGTTAGCAGTCAGGGTCACTAACGAATAAACCACCAGGCCAGTCAATATCATCATCATCAACAGCAGTAATTCTCGCTAACCACTAGGTTAACAGGCAGGCATTTAATACTATCTATACTATATAACTATATTTAATAGCATAACTAGCTGCGCCCCGTGGCGTTACCCTCGGTTGCTTTTGTATATACCTTGCTCATTTCACGGGAACATTACATTTTTTTCGGGATAAAAAGTGCAATTGCAATTCTACACTTAATTTATCTCTGTGCCAAATTTAATCCATATCCGTTCAGCCGTTTTTGGGTGATAGGGTAACAAACATCAATAGAAACTTTCGCCTTTATAAATCAGTAAGATATAAAAAATAAAATGTTTTTTCTCTGCATACGACAATCACAGGTAAATAAAATTTAGTCCAATTCATATTTACCAACCTGCACAACATTACAACGGAATCCTTCCATATTATTGAACAGTTCTTCAATCATTTTAGCTCTTATGTTAAGGGATTCCAACACATTATCCCTCTCTTGCACGTACTGTTCATACGAAGCATCTCCTTCTTGAGGTGGTCGGGCGACACAGTCTACCACAGCCTGCCCCAACGTCGAAGCACATAACTTAGCCGACATACATTTATACAAGTTAGCTTGAACCTTCGGCTCCATATTAACTATCTCCATCCATCCACCCCTTAACCCACACTCCCCCATAAAACCCTTAGAAGTAGACATAAAAGAAACCACTTCGACTTGGTTATAAGGTGCTCCCAGTTCAACCAACACCTTTTTAAACGAGTGGAATTCTCCTTCAAAAATATTTTGTTGGTACACCTCATCGGCAAATATCATCAAGGAATGTTTATAAGCGAATTTTATTATATTTTCGATATTATCTCTGGTCAAAACTTGTCCGGTAGGATTGCCAGGGTTTATGACGACCAGAGCTCTGACCTTACAATCCTTTGAACCATCAAGTAAGGCTCTGTCTAACTCTTCGATCGTCAACGCCCAATTTTTACTCTCATCTAGATAATAATCCACTTGTTTCAGACCGTATTCTGCTAAAGAAGCTGAATATAGAGGATATTGAGGTATTGGGATCATCACACCCGAAGGTTTTCCTTCTATATCATTAATTAACAGCTCCAAGCAGTTCTTAATTCCAGCAGAAGCGCCTGCTGTTAAACATATATCCCTCCAGTTGGCTTTATATCCGTCTCGTTTCTCGATAAAATTTGCAACCGATTTTCTAATCGATTCAATGCCGACTGCTATCGAGTAAGACCCGATCGAGTTTCCAACACAAGCGTCCAAGATTTCACGAGCTCTTTCCTTGACGTCTTTGGAAAAATTGCTGGTTTCAATCATTTCTGGATATGAGACACACACCAGGACTTGTCTGATGAAAGATATTGGTATCTGGCCCATGGCTTGTGCGTCTCCGGCGTTCGCTTTTATTACTTTGTTGAACGGTTTCTCAACTCCATCTTTCAACTCTTGCTCTATCTCAAGCACTCTGAGATATAGAGGTCCTCGAACGGCGTACTCCAATCTCACTATATTGGGGTTCAGATTTTCGAAAGTGATAGCTTTTTTGTACTGTGCTTTTATATTCGCCATGTTCCTGAAACCTGTTATGTTCTTACAAGATTGAGATAATCGAACGTTGTCCAAAATTCTCGTGGCTCTGGTCAATGACTTCATTTTTTTTTTACTGAAATAAATACTCGTAATACGTACTATTTTGGTAGTGTACACAAACTCCTAGCTGACCTTTTAATAGGCTATCAGTTAACACAAGATAGTACACGTCCGCTGTTTACAATACATACTGTCAAACTGTATTTAAATATGTATTTATAAGAACTGACAGCTTTGTAACGGAATTTTAATTCAATTTCTATAATAAAATCGTGGTCTAGATGACGCCACTGTACTGTAAACAGCTGAAACACAGTGGAAACGTTTTAAATGATAATATTGTTAGATATTATACCTAGACCTAAATTTAGTACAGCTTGTACGTAATTGGATATTAATGCGTGCTTTAGAAAGATCGCTTTGCGGTCGCATTTCGTAATGTCCTGTATTATTTCATTGACCAGTATATCTTGAATCGTCATTGTATACACTGTACCATTACAGATGAAATTATATACTGGACTACAGCTAAATTTAACCATTTCATTTTATTATATGTTAGCGTTGTACACTTTTCTACTTGTAAACAATATTTATTTAAAAACATAGTTACGAAGGATTTCATTTACTTAATTAGACATTTATATGTCCTTGTGGTGACAAGAATACAGAGTGTCACCCACCCCACTTATCCCGTGGGTGTCGTAAGAGCAGACTACGGGAGCAAACTACACAGGACAACAGCACTGCAAAGAGAAGGAAAACTTGAAACAATTTCTATACGTACCCGTCTGGCCAACGTTTTATAGTAGGCCAAAACCTCCTGTCTAAGGAGAGGTCTATGTCCAGCAGTGAACTATTATAGGCTGTTGATGGTGATGATGATTGCTGAACTTGCGCTAGGCCCACTATTCGAGTTATATAAAAAAAACTTGCTTGAAATTTGACCACCAAGCGAACTGTAACTTGAATAAACTCTGTATTTTACTCACCAAGTATTTTAACCAAAATATTCCGTAAAACTTCCGTAAGAAAGGCGAATGTTTGAACTTCACAATATATAAAATACTAGTATCTACCGAGAGGTACCGCAACCCAATCGGCTGAATATTACATACAATTACCACAGTCAAGTTTGTATTACCATTTAGGTTCGATAAGATATCATTGTTAGCTGTTGTATCGTGTTATCGCTAAAGTACTGGGATTATGTCATAAAATAACATACCAGATACTAGTAATTGCGCTCCATGTCATCTTTTTTTTATTTACTTCCATTTTTGAAGTGAAAACTGCTTTAGGCACGTTGGGCATTTTTAAACAATAAACAAAAGAATGTATTTTTTGAGATGAGGAAAAAAAACCTTTTAACTCGCGTTACTGTTACCGTTACCGACACCTCTGTATATAAGTATCTACATATATTGGCCTGAGAACACAAGAGTTGAGTTTGGGTTGAAATAATTTTGATAATATAACGATATATAATATAAACATATATTGTGTATATACGTACAACATACATATATGTGTATGTCGGAACTTTTCGAATCGATAAAAAAACAAGTGTTTTTCCTGATATAATTAAAAAAAAGATTTCACTTTGTCGCTACTATTTAAAAAAAATATTATAAATTGTGTATATACGTACAATATAGATATATATTCATATTTTTCGATTTTTTTAAATTTTCAAGTATTCTCTCCTGTCGGCACTCCCGGAGTTCTCTGTTTCTTTCTTTTAATATATCTGTACCTTGTCACGCTTCGCTTTTTGGCACATCGTAATTGTATTGATGTGAAATGAGAATAGATAAAAGCAATTTTTGAAGGTTGTATAACGTGTCAAAAGTTCAGCTAAATCCGTGTAATTTTTTGAGTTCTTAAAGTGCCTCCTATTCATCCCTTGTTGTTGTAAGAGCCGACTAAGGGAACAAACTTCGCAGAACACCACTGCTAAGAGAAGGAAAACTTGAAACAAACCCTATACCAACCCGTCTGGCCAGCGAGGTATAGAAGGCCATTATTATTATAACCTATAATCAGGATGTGTGTCTATGTGTAAGTCTCTGTGTGAATGCTTGTGTATGTATGTGTGTTAATACGTATACAAAACTATTCAGATTGGGTCCACGTCCATAGTTTACTGGCTGGGGTTCGAACCCACTGAATACGAAATCTCGAGTAATTACTTTTGGACAAAGAAAAGCTTAATAGTCCACTGCTTGACATAGGCCTCTAATTAGAAAGAAGTTTTGGCCTGCTATACCACGCTGTCCACACGGGTTGGTATAGGGCTTTTTCCTTCTCTTTGCTGCAGTGCTGTTATCTAATAACAGCCACGGATGACGGGTGACACTCCGTATTCTTGATCCGTCACCACACGGACGGTTCATCAATATATTTCATTAAAAAAGCCTGCTATGTATAAGTTTTATTTATTATTTACCTCTTTTTTATATTTCTTTCCAGAGGCCGCAAACGTTATGTGTCCGAGGGCGACGGTGGCGCCATCAAAGACCACGCTCTCAAACTTCGCGAGTAAGTGCGTTAACACACACGCTTCCAACCGCACTTTCTACAATGTTTTAATGCTGATGAGGAGATTGTACACCATTTTTCGTCCTCAAAGCTTTCGGAGATATGGATTTTTAAGCGTTTAGTATTTTAAGTTACAATTGTTATAAAGAAAGATAATTCTAACTGTTGCTATGCAGTTTCAGAATAGTTTTCAGGGCATAAAATATAAATAGTGGTATGCCGGATCGTTAAAAACGTATATCCGCTGATGACGGATACGGATATTCGGTACATCACTAGTAGACATATTAAAAAACAGTCGACATTATGTCGACTATTACAATATGTCTACTACATCAAACAGTCGCAGTAATATCATGTCCTTTTCATTCAATAGTTAAACGTAATGTTCCGGGTTCGAACCTTTAGTAGGTTAACAGACTGACGCTGGGCGTTTAGTTCGATTCGAATGGCTTCAAAGATAATTTTTCTGTTCAGTTGGGAGAGACTTAAAAATTTAGTCCCGATTCAAACGAGACAAAAATGGTGTCGCATTATCTGCTTTTGAAATAATCTCTGATGGTATAAGACACGGATTTTGAGCTTTGATGTTACTCTGTATGCTTAAAGCAGCATAAATTCTGCCCGATATCTTCCATCATCTGCGAAAGCAATAATGGCCATAAACCACCAACATTTTAAAATTTAAAAACTCAAAAACCAGTGTCCCAGACTAATATTTGAATAAATATTTCCGGAATTAAGTTAAATTTACAAGTAAATAAGGGTTATACTCGTTTGACATTATCAGAGTAAACAGTGTACAGATTTAAAATAACTACCCACAACAATATAACCGTATGTTATGACTCTACAATAATCTAAAAAGGTGTAGGTTATAAGCGTGTGTTGTAAACGCTAGCTGCGCCTACTTTTTTGTCTTTAAATATAGATATTTTTAGAATTGAGAAAATATAAAATGCTTATTCAATATTTTTTTCTATGACAGAAAAATTGGTGTGATTTTTTTTAAATAAATCTATTTTTGTCATTTGTTAAATACTTTTGTGTGGACGTATTATATATAGAACTGACATTAACAAGGGACTTTGGATTATTATGGGAACATTTATGCCGTTCAGCTCTCTATTTCAGTAGAACAGAAGGCCAATTCTCGTAATAATTCCGATCAACTTGATAAACTCTCATAAAAGGTATTCTCGTAGTAAAATAATAGTAAAGTATTACTAAGACGAGCAGATTGCCGATTTAATTTTCGGTCACAATACGATATTTATTTATTAATAAGTACTACCACATCATACATATTATACTTATAACTAGTTTTGACAATATGTGGCGTTATACCTGATATGTATGACAATTAAGGTGTACATAGCATTTACTGTAATGTAGTAGTGTAAAAAGTAGTAAACTAATTACAATCAAACGAGAAAAAAAAACTAACTAAAGAAGAGTATACTTAATAATAATAATAAACTGTTTGAATTAATACTACTCTAAATCTATTTTATATCTTATTCACATTCGATTCGATATAATCACATTACAGTCAACGTTAGTTATTTAATATTTTACTTCGAAAATAACTTTTATGACAGTTGTGAAGATCGAAAGTTGATCGGAACTGAATTGAGACGGAACTTTTATTACGAGAATTGGCCTTCAGTTTGTATATTTAATTTTGACACTTAAGTATTCTCGAAGCGAATATATATTATATTTAAATACTGTGTGTGTACAAGGAATCAGTCGATAAAAATAAACTTGTTATAAATAAGGAATTTTCTAGAGGATATCCATGTTTAATAAAATATATTCTGTCTATTTTGTTGGGAGTACTCGCCAGCTCCCTTTCAAAGATACAAAAGTCATGTCTTAAAATAAGTATTTGAACTTTCTCTTGGCTTGGATAAACCGTGCGGTATAACGAAACGTAACGTACAATACGTACGTTACCTGTCTTTGTACATTTTATGTTAATTAGATACCAAAATGTGAATAGAAGTTTCGTTATGTTGTAACTATTCGATATTAAAATGTAAACAAGAGACATAACGTTATTTTTTAAGTTATTGAACGGTATTTCTGTCTAGGTTAAATGCCGTAGCATTAATATTTTTATACTCTCCAAATCCCACTTCCCGCTGACTCGAGCGGGAGAGACTACAAGGGCGGCAACGCACTTGTGCCTTTTGAGTTGCAGGTGTCCAAAGACGGCGGTAGTTGCTTACCATCAGGTGACCCGTCTGCTCGTTTGCCCCCTTATACCATAAACAAAAACTCGTAACTGTCACATGTCCAAATATTTTGGACTGTTTCGCTTCATGTTGAAATATCGCACTGATAATTGTTTAAACGTACAATAAACCTAAATAATGAATAACCTGTCAATAGCAATAAATAATTATAAATATTTAAATAAAAATAAAATAATGGCTATACAGATTAAATATATATAAATAATATATTATAAATAAATATAGTAATAATCATTCCCCTCTCTCTCTCTCTTCTATGCT